TGCCCTCTCCAGGGGCACATGGAGTGACCATCAACCCTGAACCAGACACTGTGCTTAGAGCTACAGACCACATCACCACACCCAGCGTTCCCAAGGCCAGGGAGGACACGTAAGCTCCTCCTTCGCTAATGAGACAGCAGAGGCTCAGAAAGCTTCAATAATAACTTGACAAACGTCACACCAACCAGTCAGTGACAGAGCAGGAAATGTGAACCACAGGGTGGTTTCAAAGAGCTGCCCTGTCCTTGGATCCCCACCTCCCTCCTCATATGGCTGTGAGTGTGTGTGTGTCTGTGTGTGAGTGTGTGTGTCTGTGTGTGAGTGTCAGTGTGTGAGTGTGTGTGTGTCTGTGTGTGAGTGTCAGTGTGTGAGTGTGCGTGTGTCTGTGTGTGTGAGTGTGTGTGTGTCTGTGTGTGAGTGTCAGTGTGTGTGTGTGTGAGTGTGTGTGTGAGTGTGAGTGTGTGAGTGTGTGTGTGTCTGTGTGTGTGTGTGTCTGTTTCTGTGTGTGTGAGTGTGTGTGTGTGTGTCTGTGTGTNTGTGTGTGTGAGTGAGTGTGTGTGTGTGTGAGTGTGTGTGAGTGAGTGTGTGTGTGTGTGAGTGTGTGTGAGTGAGTGTGTGTGTGTGTGAGTGTGTGTGAGTGAGTGTGTGTGTGTGTGAGTGTGTGTGAGTGAGTGTGTGTGTGTGTGAGTGTGTGTGAGTGAGTGTGTGTGTGTGTGAGTGTGTGTGAGTGAGTGTGTGTGTGTGTGAGTGTGTGTGAGTGAGTGTGTGTGTGTGTGAGTGTGTGTGAGTGAGTGTGTGTGTGTGTGAGTGTGTGTGAGTGAGTGTGTGTGTGTGTGAGTGTGTGTGAGTGAGTGTGTGTGTGTGTGAGTGTGTGTGAGTGAGTGTGTGTGTGTGTGAGTGTGTGTGAGTGAGTGTGTGTGTGTGTGAGTGTGTGTGAGTGAGTGTGTGTGTGTGTGAGTGTGTGTGAGTGAGTGTGTGTGTGTGTGAGTGTGTGTGAGTGAGTGTGTGTGTGTGTGAGTGTGTGTGAGTGAGTGTGTGTGTGTGTGAGTGTGTGTGAGTGAGTGTGTGTGTGTGTGAGTGTGTGTGAGTGAGTGTGTGTGTGTGTGAGTGTGTGTGAGTGAGTGTGTGTGTGTGTGAGTGTGTGTGAGTGAGTGTGTGTGTGTGTGAGTGTGTGTGAGTGAGTGTGTGTGTGTGTGAGTGTGTGTGAGTGAGTGTGTGTGTGTGTGAGTGTGTGTGAGTGAGTGTGTGTGTGTGTGAGTGTGTGTGAGTGAGTGTGTGTGTGTGTGAGTGTGTGTGAGTGAGTGTGTGTGTGTGTGAGTGTGTGTGAGTGAGTGTGTGTGTGTGTGAGTGTGTGTGAGTGAGTGTGTGTGTGTGTGAGTGTGTGTGAGTGAGTGTGTGTGTGTGTGAGTGTGTGTGAGTGTGTGTGTGAGTGTGTGTGAGTGTGTGTGTGCATGCACACGCGCTCAGTTGTGTCCAACTCTTTGTGACCCCATGGACTATAGCCCCCAGGCTCCTGTCCTTGGGATTTTCCAAGCAAGAATACTGGCACAGGTAGCCATTTCCTTCTCCAGGGGATCTTCCCAACCCAGGGATTGAACCTGTGTCTGTTGCGTCTCCTGCATTGGTGGGCAGATTCTTTACCACTGGAGACACCTGGGGAGCCCTCTTGAATGGCTATTAAGTGCCTACTATGGGCAGCACTCCAAGTTACACACCGGAAGGGCCTGGCATCATCTCCAGCTGAGGAAAAAAAAGCATCTCAGCACCGAGTGTGGATGAGGACCAAGGTGTCCTAACTCCCAGGCCGGTGCCTGAGGGCGTCCGGGGAATTCCATTTCTCTGCCGCCTCCTCTCCCCCGCTCTGGACTCTTCCGCCCTTTCTTCCACCTTGGGGTGGGGAGGGACAGGGAAGGAGGAGAAGAGATGCCATGCGGCCCACCTGGCTGCTCAGTGGGGGTCTGAGTGTGGGCAGCTCCACGCAGGGTCCCTGGGCCTCCCATCAGCACCTACAGCCCCACCTCTCCTTCGTGATGCCCTCCCCGTCTTGTTCTCCGTCCTAACACTTCCTTCCTGCCCGTCCTCCAGATGCTGCCGATGACTAAGATCCTTGCAACTGCTCCTCAGTCTCTCTGACTCTTCTCTCTACTGTCATCTCCTTCCTCACTCCTGCCCAGTCTCCCCAGCACCCCAGTTCAGGTTTCCTTGACAGTGGTTTTGATCCTGCCATGCTCTCGCTCAAGAACCTTCAGTGGCTCCCTATGACACTGAGTTACGGGCACTGAATCCTCCCACCCCTTGGCAAACAGCACCAGCCTTGTGCAGCCTTTCTAGAACCACCCTGATGTACTGCGCCCCTTTCTCCGAGCGACTTGGTGTCCTGTTAGCTCCTCTAGAACAGTGCCATCCAGTAGAAAGAAACATAACATGAGCCATGTGTGTAACTTTAAATCATCAGCAGCCAAATTTTATAAAGTTAAAAGAAATAGGTTAAATTACCTTCAGTATGTTTTATTTAACCTAACATACCAAAATATTATCATTTTAACATATCATCCATGTTAAACATTATTGAGGCATTTTATGGTTCTTTTATAAATTCAGGTCTTTGTAATCCAGTGCGTATTTTATATTTACATCTCAGTTCAGACCAGCCACTTTTCAGGTGCTCACTAGTCACAGGAGATGCTCTATTGGACGCACAGGTCTAGAGGTTTTGAGCCTTCTACATTCTATTTTTCTGAACTTGTAAGAGATACTCAGTAATATGGGTTCAGTGTTTCCCCTCAAATCCACTTGTTGAAACCCTAGCCCCAACCATTTCAAAATGTGACCTTTTTGGAAATGGGGTCATGGTAGGTGTTATTGTTAGGATGTCATAATGGAATGTGTTGGTTCCGTAACACAGGGGTCCCCAGCTACCAGTGCATTGCTGGTTAGGAACCAGGCCACATAGCAAGAGGTGAGAGGAGGTGTGAGCGAAGCCTCCCCTGTATTTACAGCTGCTCTCCATCACTCACATCACCACCTGAGCTCTGCCTCCTCTCGGATCAGCGGCAGCATTAGATTCTCAGAGGTTCAAACCCTACTGAGCTTGAATCATCCTCCTGAAACCATCCCCCAGTCCCCATCCATGGAAGCATTGTCTTCCATGAAACCAGTCCCTGATACCAAAAAGGTTGGTACTGCTGCCCTAACAAATACGACTGGTGTCCTTATAAAAAGGGGAAATCTGGGTACAGAGGCATGCATGTGTGAACATGAAGGCAGAGATTGGGGTGACATTTCTCTAAACCAAGGAACATCAAAGATGGCCAGCAGGACTTGCCTTATGGCGCAGTGGATAAGAATCTGCCTGCCAATGCAGGGGACATGGGTTCAGTCCCTGGTCGGAGAAGATTCCACATGCCACAGAGCAACTAAGCCGTTTCGCCACAACTACTGAGCCCGTGAACTGTAACTTCCAAGCCAGCGTGCTGAACTACTGAAGCCTATGCGCCTAGAGCCTGTGCTCCAAGCCAGTGAGAAGTCTGTGCACCGCAACGAAGACCCAGTGCAGCCCAAAATAAATGAATTAATAAATAAACAGATGACCAGTAAACCGTCAGAGGCTAAGAGAGAGACACAGGTCAGGTTTTCCCTCCTCAGAAGGAGCCTTCTGACACCTTGATGGGGGACTTCTAGCCTCTGGAACTGAGAACAGACATTTCTCTTGTCTAAGCCACCACTTTGTGGTACTTTGTTTCCGCAGCCCTAGCAAACCAACATTTAGTTCAAGAGACTCAGTTTCCTCATCTGTAATATGGGAACAAGGGAAGAATCCTAACAATTAACAGGTTTATTCTGTTCTCTGTGTGTATTTTTTGGCCGTGCCATACAGCCTGTGGGATCTTTGGTCCTCGACCAGGGATCGAACCTGCACCCCCTACACTGGAAGCGCAGAATCTTAACCACCAGACCACCAGGGAAGTCCCTAGTTAATGGGTTTTTAATACTTCTATAGGCACTCTTTTCAAGCCCTCCCTCAATCCTCACAATAATCCTGTGAGATTGCTACTGTCATCATGCTCATCGGGGAAATGGGGTACAGAGAGTTCAAGGAACCTGCACAAGGTCACTTAGCAGGTAGGGGGCGAAGCCAGGATTCAAACCTGGCCCTCTTAGCCCTGACCTAACAGCTCCAGAGGACGCTCCTGGCAGGCTGCTTTGTGAGGCATGAATGAGCTCCCGGGTGGAACTCGGGGAGCATCCGGTGAGTAGCGAGTGCTTAGAAAACAGTGGCTATTATTGTGGCCTCATCTCTGGCACAGGGAGCCACACACATGTGCGGTGCGTGGGACTAAAGTGAACCCTGTGTCTTTGTGTTCTTCATGAACTTCCCCAAATTGAGCTCACCTTCCCAGAAATGACTAAACCCTGGTGCCACTTCTAGAGGGACTGAGTTTCCTTTTCATCAAATGACTCAGAGAAACAGAAAGTAAACTGGAGGTGTCGCAAGTTGGAGGGCAAGAGGACTGGGAGACTTTGGCGTGCCCCACCCACCTGGAAGGGTGGGTGGCTGTGGGGGTCTGGGAGCGAGCTCTCCCAGGGCTCAGGGAGGGGTCCCCTGCCAGTGAGGGCCTCCAAGACCCATCCACCCCCCATTTCCCCCGCTGGGCTCCCTGGAGGCAGCCAGCATAGAGGAAAGAATGGGGAATCTAGCCCCCAAATCAGTGTGCAGGGAGCATCAGGCAGGATGTCCCCATCATGAGACCAGCAAGGTGGACCAGATGCCATGAAGGCTGCTCCCAGAGGCGAGCCTAAGGTTGTCTGAAGTCTGATCCTTGGGGATGTGATGGCCACATCAATGGGTTTCTCACACTCTGGTGCAGGGGAGGTGGGGAGTCGGACATGGCTGGAATTATAGGTCACAGATCCAGCAACCGGGGGGAAGCACCAGAGGAGCATGTATGTGTGGGGGCGTGTGTGTGTGTTCACCCGGCTGGCATCTGGCCTTCGCTTACCTCCAGCCTGGCCACGGCAAACGGAGTGGCCCCCTCCATGTTCCGAGCTGTAATTCCGCTGACCGGGGTCCTGTAGTCAGTGATGTCACCCTCGGGCCGGATGAACTTGTCGTAGAGCACGGAGCCGTGGTAGTCCACAAGGCTGCAGCGAGCCAAGCCACTCTCCCGGAAGGGCCCCAGCCCCACCATCTCGCAGTCCATGGCCACCACGTCTGCGCTCCTTGCCATGTTCCCCTGGGACGCCCAGATGTGCTGGACGGGGGCGGCAGGAGAGCCATCACTCGAAAGGCTGCCCGAGGCCCCAGGCGTCCTCAGCCACCTCCCAGGCAGCCTACACCCTCTGCCCTGCCCTTTGTCACAACACCACCTGGCACAGAGAGAAGCTGGATCCTTGCCACCCCAACCGGCCTCTTCACCCGGCGATCCCACGGCCTCTCCCGGGTCCTGCCAGGCAGCGTCAGGACCAAAATGCCCCCCTCCCACCACCACCCCTGGCCACCGCCCCAGAGAAGTGTCTGGAAGCCCCCATCCTGTCTCCCGCTCTCACCTGCCTGCCTCTCTGATGCCCCTTTCTCAGCTACTGCAGTTGCTCTTAGCAGTGACTCATCTCTGACTTTAAGCCGGGAATCCTGACCCTGTTTCAGTTTCTGGTTTGTTATCAAGTGAAGTCAGGGGCGGAGGCCGGGCACGTGGGCTGGGTTGCCTCATCTCCTAGGGCTGCCGGCCTGTGGGGAGCTCAGCAGCCAGAGTCAGGACTGACGAAGCTGGCGGCCGGCTCCGTGTCTGGGTGTCCCATCTTTCTTTGCCCCTGCCCCCTCACCTAATCCCTCAAGCCCGCCCCTCCTCAGGTGACACGGCTGATGTGAATGTTGTAGATTGCAACATCTGTCTCTTGGTTCTCACCCTCTGCCCAGAGAATAAACATCCCGGGGACTGGAGTCCAGGGACGGTCCCACAACTTCCAGAGCCACCATCAAATCTGATGCTCTGTGAGGTCATTCATGGGGGCAGGGAGAACTGGCTCTTGGGACACTGAGGTTATTAATTGGGAAGTGCAGGAGAAGGTTGGGACGCAAGTGGGGCCAGCCCCCACCGCTGACCCAGCAGAGGCAAGGAGGCAGTGAGGGAGCCCTACGGCCTCCACCGGCTCAGGGGTGTCTCAGAAACGGTCATGTCTGCCTTTGAAGAGCTCTGCCTCCGGCTATGCTGACACTGTTTGAGGACAAGGAGAAGCAGGCCTGGGCAGAGCCCCCACCAGCCTGGCTGTATTATCTAGGGGCTATAAGCCTGATGTGCTGCAGTCCTTGGGGTTGCAAAGAGTCAGACACGACAGAGCTACTGAACTGAACTGAACTGATGCTCTGAGAAATGGAGTATCTCCTGCCATATCCGTAGACAAGGATGTCACTGACATCAGCAGGATAGCCCTCCAGTGTGATCTGGTGAAGCCTGAGGGCACTCAGGAAGGTGTCTAACAGTCATCAGACAGCAGCCACCCTCCCTATGGTGAGCCCGAGGGAGCTCAGGATGTGAAAAGAACACAGGTTCTGGCCCGGGATAGCTGAGATGCATGTGAAAGGAATGACTCCAGTGAGCCCAGACTCTTGCATCTTCCCATGCGTAGAAAAGCACTGAATTCCTTAACTTGGGATATCTGTGCATGCATGCACACTATGTTAACTGTTTGCATCCCTATGGACCACAGCCGGCCAGGCTTCTCTGTCCATGGGATTCTCTAGGCAAGAATACTTGACTGGGTTGCTGTGCCCTTCTCCAGGGGATCTTCCCAACCCAGGGATTGGACCCACGTCTCTTACGCCTACCTGCATTGAAAGGCAGGTTCTTTACCACGAGCACCACCTGGGAAGCCCTTGGGATATCTGGTTTTCTTTAATAACAATAATCTTTTGATGTTCAGACTACCCAAAACTTCTGCAAAATTTTTGTTACAAAAGTTCAAAACTTTGGGGTGTTTTTTTGCAAAACTTTGTTTCAAAACCTCTGTATAACCTGGCTTCTCCCCTCACCTCCTTGGAGCAGTTCTCTCAGGGTCACTTGGGATGCCGTGGTCACTTGGGATGCCGTCTCCTGGGCCTGAAATGAAAGTCCTCAGTTGTGTCCAGCTCTTTGCAATCCCATGGACAATACAGTCTATGGAATTCTCTAGGCCAGAATTCTGGAGTGGGTAGCCTTTCCCTTCTGAAGGGGATCTTCCCAACCCAGGGATCGAACGCAGGTCACCCGCATTGCCGACAGATTCTTTACCAGCTAAGCCACAAGGGAAGCCCAAGAATACTGGAGTGGGTATAAGTCCTAAAAATCCCACTGAATAAAACATAACTCTCATCTTTTTGGTTGTGAATATTTTTTTAAGTCGATAGCTCTCCCAGGCTAGAACTCTGACCCTTTAGAACAATGTCTAGTACATAAGGAGCACTCAGTATCTATTGAATAAATGAGTTACAACTGGGGCAAAAATAGAATCAGCTTTAATGAGGAAATTGTTTGTAAGTACTGGGGTAAGTTGATCACCCCCCTCTTGCTTCCTACCATAGATCCACATGGAACAAGATTTGAGCTGTCAAATCTGACTGCCTCCAAATTGTCACAAAGATTTGCAGCTTGGAAAGGAATTTCCCCAGGTTCTTAATGTATTCACCAAAAGACATTCAGTTTCATTTAACAGACCTCAAAAAGAAAACCAGATACTGAAAAATGTTCAAAGGGTGAGGCATTGTTCCTGTGTTCTTGGTTCAAATTTGAGTTAGAAGTTTTGGTTCCCATTCTGAATGAGCAACTTTTCCTTGAATTCAAGACTGTCTGGGGATTTTTTGTTCCTCAAATGCATAAAGGATTGTTACCCTGATTTAAGAGGAGATGCAAAGTTCTTGCTACTTGAACATACATTGAAAAAGTAACTCCCTAAAGAAGGCTGAGCACTGAAGAAATGATACTTTCAAATTGTGGTGCTGAAGACTCCTGAGAGTCCCTTGGACAGCAAGCAGATCAAACCAGTCCATCCTCAAAGAAATCAACCCTGAATACTCATTGGAAGGACTGATGCTGTAACTCCAATACTTTGACCACCTGATGCAGAGAGACAACTCATTGGAAAAGATCCTGATGTTGGGAAAGACTCAAGGCAAAAAGAGAAGAGGGCAGCAGAGGATGAGCTGATCGGATAGCATCACCAACTCAATGGACATGAATTTGAGCAACCTTTGGGTGATGATGGACAGGGAAGCCTGGCGTGCTGCAGGCCATGGGGTCGCAAAGAGTCAGACATGACTGAGCGACTGAATTAACAACTGTGTGCTGAGGTTGGACACAGGAACTGCTAAAAGCCTAGCGGAAGAATGCCCGACTCCAACCAGGGGATAAGCTGCAGGGTTCGTAGTGGTGATGCTTCCCAGGTTTAACAGTGTCACTCATCAACCAGACCAAGTCCCCAGCTCTCTTTGGGTCAGGTGACAGCAGGAAAGTGAGGCAGTCCTGGCAAACCTCTCAACCTTAGCTGACACATACCCTGCCACAGTTGGCCCATTGGTAGGTCACATACCTGTCCCTATAGGCAATCTGCCTTTGAAATCCAGCTGTCACAAACCCCTAAAATATGTATGTGAATCCCAAAATTACATACCACAGATGGAACCACCTCAAACAGTCAGATATAGCAATTCCATGTGGTTCAACTTAAAACACATCAAACTGTACTAGTGGAATGAATACATTTTTAAATACACAGACACAAAAGAATGAATTAAACTATATACCAATGAACATGTGAAAAAGATGTTCAACATTAAATCAGGAAAGTGCAAATCAAAACCACAAGTAACTACCTCACACCTGTCAAAATGGTTATTACCAAAAAGATCACAATAACATATATTGGTGAGGATGTGGAGAAATTGGGACCCTTGTGTAGCCATTGGGAATGTAAAATGGTGCAGTTTACTGTGTAAAACAATATGAGATCCCTTAAAAAATTAAACGCAGAACTACCATGAGCCAGCAATCCCGTTTTCCTGGGTGTATATCCAGAAGAATCAAAAGTAGAGTCCTGGAGAGATACAGTAGCATTTTTAACAATTTTTAACAAAACCTTGTCCATGGATGGCTGGATAAACAAATGATGGCATGTACATCCGAATGAATGTTACTCAGCCTTAAAATGGAAGGAAATTCTGACACATCCTACAACCTCAGCAATGAACTCTGGGGACATTTTGTTAAATGAAGTAAGCCAGACACAAAAAGGCAAATACTGTAGGATTCCACTTATCATTGTTCAATCATGTCTGACTCTTTGCAGCCCCACAGACTGCAGCACACCAGGTCTCCCTGTGCTTCACTATCTCCTGGAGCTTGTTCAAATTCATGTCCATCGAGTCAGATTTCACTTATATGAGGTATCTAATCAAATACACAAAAACAAAGTGGAATGGTAGTTGCCAGGAGCTGAAAGGAGGAGGGTCTGAGGGGTTATTTTTTAATGAGCAGTCTCAGTTTTGTAAGATAATAACAGTTCTGGAGATGAGTTGCATAACAATGTGGGTATATTTAACACTATTAACTGTACACTTAAAAATGGTTAAGATGGTAAATTTTAAGCTGTGTATTTTATATTTAAAACTAAAAAAAAAATTTAAGATAAAAAGTGAGTACATAGCTTCAAAGAGAAACAAATTGAGTAAACTTGTGCTCTATAAATGATAGGGCAGTTACATAAAAAAATAAACTACATAAATTCTGTAGCTCTAATATTTTCTTGCCACATCCCAAAGCACCATCTTGAAAGCTACCCACCTCAAAGGCCAAATCACCCAGCAAGACTCGGTGCCCTTGGGTCCCACAACCCCTCCACCAAGCCTCCTCCCACCTCAACTGGAGATTCAAAGAAAAGGCCATTTCACCCACTTTTACAGTTGAGTTTTATTCCAGAACGGTTTTACAAAGCTGATTTTAAGCCCAGTACATCTCCACATGCGAACAGCTCCATCCCTCAGCCCAAAGTCCAAAGACTCTAAGCAACAGCTCAGCTGTGTGGCGTCAGCTAGGCTTTTAAGGAACCTAGAACAAAGTCCTGGAGGCAGCGGGTCAGTGACTCAGCCAGCTCCCAGAACAGTCTGCGGCCCTACGTTTGCTGTTATGTTTTCAGGAGTGTCTCTCCGTCCCTGGCCCTGCTGCTTTGCTGAGCTTGATACAAAATCCATGCAGCACAGGAAGAGGGCCCACAGACTCTGAGCTGTCCTCGGTGGCCCACGTCCCACCTACTGGAGTAGCCACAAGGACAAATCCTGTCTGAGCAAAAAAACGCACAATGTGAGAGAGGTGAGTTAAGTTTTATTTGGGCAAAATGAGGACTGCAGCCCAGGAGACAGCATTCCAGAGCTCTGAGAAACTGCTCTGAGCAGGCAAGGAGTGGAGCCAGGTTATACAGGAGTTTTGAAACAAAGGGCAAGTGGTCTGAACATCAAAATATGATGCTTGTTAAAGAAAACCAGAAATCTCAGGTTAAGGAGTTTAGTGCTTTTCCATGTATGAGAAGATGCAAGAGTCTGGGCTCAAGCTGAAATCATTCCTTTGATTTGCGCCTCAGCTCTCTGGGGCCGGTATCCTGTGTTTCACATCCTGAGTTTTCTTAGGGCTCACCTGTAGGGAATGGCCAGTCTGATGACTGCTAGATAGCAGGTATTCTTTTCAGCAGGTATTCAGTTTCCTCAGGGTTCACCAGTTCACTGTTTAAGGACTGCAATCTGCAATTGCTGATGACTGTGACTTCCTTTGTTTACTGATAGGGCTGGAAATATTTCATTTCTTGGGGCAAAGCTCTCAAATGGCCCCAGGGTGTGTTCAGGTGTTACTTGGAAGAACCTAACACTAATCCTTAAAGAAAACACATCTCACAGAGCCTAACAACCCTGTGAGGTAGGTGGGACCCTTATCCTCATTTTACAGATGAGGGATCACACTTGAGTGAAGTCACACACTTACCTAGGTCTCAAAGCTATTAAGTGGCAAGCTAAGATGGGGCTCAGAATTTCTGTGTGACTTGAGCTCTCGGGTACCCCAATACCACAAAACTGGTCCTTAGGGGAAAAGGACAGAGGGGTGGGAGATGAATCCTGACAGAGAACATTTTTAGTAACTTAGAGAAAAACCACCCAGTCACCCAACCACAAGTGGCTGGGGGCACCCACCCAAGTGTGGGCACAACTACACAACTGTCAATGCCCAGTCTAACCCTGGCAGACCTGCCCTCTGCACCCCTAGAGACCTGTGATCTTGCTCTCAATAAATAAAGATCCCAGTGGGCAATTCTGCAGAGGGGTCCCAGAATTTAAACTGTACTACTGTTTCTCAGACTTCTGTTTGAAAGCCTAGTGCTGAGTGGGCAGGAGGAATGCCTGACTTGGATCAAGATACATATGCCAGTCTCCACCCAGAGCTTATCTGCCTTCCTTCCTCCCAGAGCACCTGGGGACTTCTGCCCGCAAGCAGGCGAGGACCCAGCTCCCCGTGATCTGAGGTCTCTGCTGTCCCGCTGCTGCCAGAGTTCCAGTTCAGAAAGGGACAAAATGGCCTTGGAGTGGCCTTAACTCTATAGCCTCAGGGCATATTTATTCTCTTGAAAGTGACTCTGGAGGAAGAGGCAGCTGGTGACAACAGGATGAAAACTTTGCCCCAGGTCACTGGGTGGAGATAAGAGAACTCTGGAATATTGACACCTCCACCCACCACCAAGGAGGGAGACACATCCCTTTAGAGAGCACAGCATGAGGTGGGGGTGGCCAGTGATGTCATCTGTTGGCGCATTCCCTACTTCTACTGGGTTCTAGCCCACCTGCCATTTTCACGGTGTCTATAAAGTGCCATTAGCAAAACCACAGGAGTTGGGGAGGGAGGGCTGTGCTGTGGGCAGGTGGTCCCGACTCTTCAGACCCTGGGGGCAGCCAAGCATCCTGCCCCAGGCGCTCTCCCGTTCCAGCTCCCCAAGGGAGCTTCTCCTCCTTCACTCCCGTCTGCCCGGCGCCTCCCCCGGCGCCTCCCCCGTGTCTCCGCTGGCGCCCTGGGCCAGGTCCTCCAGCCAGTACTGGTCCTCCATGTACTGCTCCATGTCCGTGCTGCTGTCGGGCTCTCTGTCCTCCGGGGGGGCCCGGAGGCTGCTGGCCACCTGCTGCTCCCACTGCACCTCCACCAGCCGGTAGAGCTCCATGGCTGTCACGGCGTCTTCTACTGACGAGTGCCCGTGCTGGCCCACCTGCGGATGAGAGCCCCCGCGTCACTGCCCGTGGTCCTGGGGGGACGTCAGGCGCCCCGGGCTCCGGGTCCAGGCCCAGGGACGTGTACTCTGAGAACACGGGTGCACAGCCTGGTTCAGTGAGAAGGACATGGGTCCCAGTCATACAGAAAAGCACTGGAACACCAGCGGTATCACAAGCCATCTCTTTCGCCTATTTCCTTAAATATAAAAACTGGTTTAAAAATCCCTGATTGTGGGCTTCCCAGGTGGCTCAGTGGTAAAGAATCTGCCTGCCAATGCAGGAGATGTGGGTTCATTCCCTAGTCCGGGAAGATCCCACAGGCTGCGGGCTTAGCCCATGCCCTGCAACAAGAGAAATCACTGCATCGAGAAACCTGAGCACCACAACCAGAGAGTGGCCTCCACTAGTCACAACTGGAGAAGGTCCACAGGCAGCAACGAAGATTTACTCGATGCAGTCATATGGAATAAATAAATACATAAAATCCAATTCAGATGGAATGATGAATGTGAAACACAGGAGGAGCAAGAGTGACCAGGTACCCCTGACCACTCCTGGTTGCAAGAGGAGTTCTACATGTGAACAAGAGGACAGAAGCAGGAACTGGGTGGGAGATGGATCTAAAGAGAGCAGCCTGGGAGTGGGTGGCTGACGGTCACAACCTACTGGAAAGCAGAAGGGTGGAGAGAAAACACCCAGGGCTGCGTGTACACCCGGGAGTCCCAGGACCAGGCTGGGGAAGCGGCAGGCCCCGCACTGCCTGCCCGTGGCCCCTGGCTCCCCCCTCCCGCTCCCCTCCGGCCCCACGCACCTGGATCTTCTTGTGCAGTAGCTGCAGGGCCAGGTCCTTAAGAGAGACACGATTCCGGATGTGGAGCCCTGGCTGGCTGAGGAGGCTGGGGACGGAAGTGGTATCCCGGGTCTGGCCCCGAGGGTGGATGTACTTGAGGGCCTTGAAATCGTTGTGCAGGGCATGACCCACCACCACCTTGCCCTTCAGAAGCTTGAGGATCTGTGAACAGAGGAGGAATTAGGAAGGGCCACATCCTGACACCCTGAACAGTGGTCCAGGGACCCCTCTGGGGGGAGGCAGCCTAGACAGGGGTGACCATGGGCCCCACAGTTAATCAGGCTGCTCAAAGTTTGAATGCAGTCCTTGACTCGCTACTCACTATCACCAGGGGCCTGTTTAAGCTTCCCCCGCACCTGCAAAATGGGAAAGCTGGCAACCGCATTGATCGGGTGGCTGTGAGCACTAAGGAGCTCTTAGATGGGCAGGTTACCCCAGACAAGCATATTTCCTCCTGGCCCAGCCTCTTCTCAGCCTGGAAGACTTAGCCACACCCCACCCCCTCCTACCCACTTCCACCCCCAACTTCCACCAGCTCCTCTCACGGCAGGCCTCAGCTTTAAACATCAGGAGGCCTCCCCGGTTGCCACCAGGACCCCTGCTGTTCTCTCCTTTGGGGGATTAACCATGTTCTCTAAGTACACGTTCAGCTCTGCATGGCCTGTTCAGCTGCCCCTCAGTGTAAGCTCACTGTAAAGTGCAGGGACATGTGTGCCTAGACTAGTGGTGCCCAGTGACAGCTCAGCTCACAGGAGGCAGTCCGGGCAGATGTGCCAGGTGAAGTCACAGAACGGTGCCAGGCATTGGAGACACGTGACCAAGGACAGCTCTTTCAGCACTAACGTGGCAGTCCCTGTCTTCTGGATTCTGTCCCTTTGTCCCTCTGCTGTCCAGAACTCCCGCTTCTCATCCTCGGAACCTGCTCTCTGGCTCAGCTCAGACCATCTGCACAGGGTGAGCCTCTCTTTCCTGCCTTCCAAGGGAGGCCACATCCAGGGCCACGGGCCTGCAAACCCCTCGATCCCTCTTCCCTGGGCTTGCATCTCCTTATCACCTGCTGCCAGCCTCCCACAGCCACCTCTGCTGGCGACACATGGTTTATCACTAAACTCAGCTTTCATAGCATATGGATAAGGCACATTTAGACTTCAGTGGTAGGGATGGGCCACCACCCCACACATACACATGAGCCACACGGTGGGAAGGGACCCAGCACACCCCATTCATACTGGCTCGGAGCGTGGGCCGATCCAGCGCAGGCCTGCTCTTGGCAGGCCGAGAGACGTCCCAAAGAGCTGGGGGTCACCAGGTCTGCCTTCCTGCTGCCTCTATTCCTAACTAGCTCACTTGAAATATCCTTTTAAAAGAAATGCTTACACTGTATCTGCTGTGAAAAAGGAAGACACAAGATGACTTGTACCAGTATTCCCTAAATGTACCTCATCCCAAGAATAAACCAGAAATGTTAAGTATAGCTTTGCTACAATGCTTGGTTTAAAAATGCAAAATGGTCCAACGTGGTTGATGTGACTTGAGAATAATGCAAATTTTGCCCTTGATAAACACTGAATGAATGCAAAAACCATACCCAGCTTAGCAGAGCCACAGGGGAATCACAAAGTGCCCACACCTCGGAAGTCTACCAGCCAGCTTAGCTCACCTGTATGCTGCCCACACCTGGCTTCCTACTTCCTGACTTCAGGTAACACCCTTAACCACTTCACCACAGCACAAGCCACCATCCTCCGGACAGCTACTTCCCTGAGTGCTCCAGGTCTTATCAAGGCAAATTCAGTTCAGTCACTAAGTCATGTCTGGGTCTTTTCAAGGCAAGTTCAGTTCAGTTCAGTCACCAAGTCATGTCCGACTCCTGAAGACCCCAGGGACTGCAGCACATTAGGATTCCCTGTCCTTCACCAACTTCTAGGGTTTGCTCACAAAGCACCATATCAGTGTATTTATACTTTCCTTAACCACTGAACCTGTGCAAAACTGTGCTTCCACTGTTATTAGGTTTCTATCTTTTTATCTGGGGGGTCATTGATAAAGTTAAAATGTTGTGTCTCTAACCCCATTTTCCCCATCAGCTCTGGGGTATTTATCGTGCAGGTTTGTACAACACAATGGTTTTTAGAAACACACATCAGATCCCTCCCAAGACCTAGAGACTTGCAGGATCAGAATCTCTACAGAGAGGATCTGGGACAAGAATCCAAGATTGTTAATAAGGATTTAGGTATATTTGCTATGCTCAAGGATGTTTGGGAGTTCCTGGCATGTTAGTGTGGTCCCAACCACAGATTAATCTTCCTCAAAGCAATGAGTCCCTTGGACAGTAAGGAGATCAAACCAGTCAATCCTAAAGGAAATCAACCCTGAGTATTCATTGGAAGGACTGATGCTAAGGTTGAAGCTCCAATACTTTGGCCACCTGATGGGAAGAGCTGACTCACTGGAAAAGACCCTGATGCTGGGAAAGATGGAAAGCAGGAGGAGAAGGGGACGACAGAGGATGAGATGGCTGGATTGCATCACCGACTCAATGGACATGAGTTTCAGCATACTCCGGGAGACGGTGAAGGGCAGGGAAGTCTGGCATGCTACAGTCCATGAGGGCACAGAGTGGGATACAACTTAGTGACTGAACAACAACAAAGCAATGAAAAACTAACATAAAAAAATACCAAAAAACACCTAAAGGTGACAGTGCTATGGACCTTACACATTTTATGAAGACACGTAGTACTTTTATAACAGAAGAAGAAAATGTGGAGTTTAAGGTGTTTCCCACCTTGTGGAAAAGGCAGAGCCTTTCCACACACACTACCACTCGTGATGGCCAGCAATCACTCCATGCAGGTAAGGCAGGATTTCTACTCACACTTTCCTATGGAGAGGAAACCCACTGTTTGAAGAAGCTTAGTAAGGTTCCCAAGGTCTCTCTGCTCCCAGTGGCTACGTGTTAATTCAGACCTGGGCTAAGCCCCCTGCCCTGCCCTCACCTCTTTCTGGGCCACCTGGAAGGGGATGGCTTTGCGCATGTGCTGCCGGGTGATGCCGCTCCAGCGCGTGCGGTAGTCCACGATGGGCATCTCAGGCCGGACGTACTTGTCGTAGAGGACCTCGCCGTGGTAACTCACCACAGAGCAGCGGGCCAGCTCGCTCACCCGCCCTCGGGGTCCCGTGCCCACCATCTCGCAGTCGATGGCCACGCACTTGCTGGGCAAGGGGCCGGCAGAGTCCCTGGGGGCTGGCTTTCTGCTGCACCCAGTACCTCCAGATTCAGCCCGCGGACGCTGTCTCGCACTGCTGGTGGCTTCTGCGCCTGGCGGGGCCCCGGGCAGCGTAGGCAGAGGGGAGGGTCCTGGCTCCGGGAGTGGGCTCAGCAGCCCCTGCTCCTGTAGCAAGGCCTTCCGGGCCATGAAGCGCTGGTGCTGTCGGCTCTTCCTCTTGTGCTTCCTCCGAAGCACATCCTTGGCACTCGGGCTGGCCAGGGAAGGGCTCGGGCACTGCGCTGACTCAGGAGCTTCCTGGGGTACCATCCCCATCTGTGCACCGCTCAGGGCCAGGGAGGCCTGGCAGGTGATCTGCCAACAGGGCAGCAGCCTGGGAAAGAAACAGGGCAGAGGGGCGGGGTGAGGGGTGGCCTGGCCAGCCTGCCCCTCCATACCCCCTCCCTCCAGCCAGGTCTCAACTGCTGTACAGTGTCTCAAGATCCCAGACAAAGTCAAGAACCTGTATGAATGATAACTGCACTCAGAGTCAATATCACCTGCAGAATCACTGTCTTAAGTACTTTACATGGAATCACTCAATCTTTCCAACAATTCAAAAAGGTATTATTATCCGCGTATTATAGGTACAAAAACTGAGGCATCAAGGCTTAGTAACTCGTCTAATTAATAAACAGACAAAGGCTGATGTGAACCCAGAACCCAGGCTTTCAGATTCCATGCCATAGCCTACCCCCGACATTGTTAGCTTAAACTAAAAATTATGAAAAACTTTTAGAGCGGTGTTAAGAGAAAATAAACAAAATGAGAAAATAAAGATTACAGAGATGTTACATATATACAAAATCCCATTTTAGAGAAACAAACAAAAGCTTTATGCAATGTAATGGTACAGACCCACAGTAGAACCTAGAGAAACTATTTCACAGGAAGCCCACAACAGTTGTATTTTTATTATGTGTTAACCAAAATGACATATCTATTATATGACTTTCTAATTCACTCATCATAACACTGTCTACAAACATTTAACATAGTTGGATTTGTAGTTTAACCATGGAGGCCTACAGGCATAGGTGTGCTGGTAAACCAGCTCAAATCTAAAAAGGAGAAACAGAAAAAAGCCCTGATTTAATGTGCTGTAGATTTCCGTGGTACCTCCTCCAAGCTCTCCATGCCTGAATGCTGGGTTGACAGGAGATGCTGTCACACACCATGGTCACAGGAAATAGTTGTTTGTTCACGTAGGTTTACAAACCCCGTGCAGTAAGACCAGCATCTTCCCAGTCGTCAAGGATGTAGCTTGGGGAGCCTCATCTCATTTGCTGTGCTAAGTCAGCTGGCAGATTTTGAACAGACCAGAAAACCAGCGCTTTGAAGCAGGCAGAGCAGGGACTAACTCAGCTCAGAATAAGTACCTAACCAATTCAGGTTCTTTGCATGTAAAATGGAAAGAACCCACCTTTCCCTTGTGAAGAGGAAATGGTAAAATCCACGTGTACTAGGATTTGCATGTATTTTTTTGAATTATTATTATTTTAAAAGTCACTGAAGTATAATTGATTTCAATGTTGTATTAATTTCAGCTGTATAACAAAGTGATTAGTTATACACACACACACATATTCCTTTTCATGTGCTTTTCCATTATGATTTATCACAGGATATTGAATATAGTTCCCTGTGCTATACAGGGGGCTTCCCCAGTGGGCCAGTGATTAAAAAAAAAAATCCACCTGCAAGGCAGGAGGCGAGGGTTCTATCCCTTGGTCATGAAGATCCCCTGGAGGAGGGCATGGCAACCCACTCCAGTCTTATTGCCAGGAAAATCCCATGGACAGAGGAAGCTGGCATGCTGTAATCCTTGGGGTCACAAAGAGGTGGACATTACTGAGCAACTGAGCAGCAGCAGCAGTGCTATACTTGTTTATCCATCCCACATGTAATCATTTGCTGATCCCACACTCCCAATCCTTCCCTTCCCCACCCCATTGTTTCAGTCTCTTGGTTCATTAATCCATCTTTCATCTAGACTATATACTTTGATGTAGCCTTTAAAATCTTTATAGGTGACCAATTTTAGTTGCAACTGTATTCATGAAAATGCTATTTCCTAGTACATCTGATTAAAATTGAGCTGCTCATCCTTAACTCTTGAATCAACTATTCTTCATAGTATCAAAGGGATTTTCTGTGGAGTCAGCACGGTGTCATATTCTAGGCTTTCCACTGGTTAGTATATATTTGTATTGTGGCCAAATCCCCATGATGCTACATATTTACATTTATTATATGTATATATTATAAACTCCTGCATACACCCACACATACACATAAATATATGAAAGGACCCGTGACTGTCACCAGGCCAGGTATTTAAAAAGCAGAAGCGCTAAGTTAGAGAAGTCCTGGCAGTGAAGGAGACACTTTGAAGGGTTTCAGAAAGTTCTACCAGTCAGCCCAGGAAGGGAAGGGCATGCAGACAGAGAAAAATATGGACACAAAGTCCAAGAGGCGGGACAGATTCGTGGTGGGAAAGCAAGGATTTGGGTGCAGCAACTGGAAAGAAAGGAGGTAGGGGGCGAGGAGACAGGGACAATAAGAGAGAACTGTCCCTGGAGAAAAGTCAAAGTTGAGGCTTCATCCAAAGGTGGTGGGAACCATCAATCTCCAGAGTTTTAGGGAGAGGGGGACAGGATCACAACTGCCTTAAAGGAAGAAACCTGGGGAAAGAACATAGAGTCTGCACAAGGGCAGCAGAGATTAAGAGAAATGGGAGGAGAGATGCTACCATTTGGTGATGCCTGGGCCAGACGGGAGTCTCCGTGACCCATCCTCTCTCTGCTTCCTGATCCCTTCCCCCAAGAACTCTTCTTTTTAAAGGGGCTCTCAACTATAATCAACTTCTTCATATTCACAAGTCACATACTGAGGCTGACAGATACAAAACTTCAACTTGCCTGGGCCCAATAATGGGGAGAATGAGGTCTAAGAAGACAGAGATCCTCTAATAACTACCTTCTGTAGGTGAGGAGGGACCTTGTCCTTCTGAGATGACTAAGGACCCTGCAAGGTCAGGAGCCGAGGCCAGGACTAGGGTCAATGGCCTCTCTAAACCTGTTGACAAGGTATCAAAGAAGCCAGAAATTGGTGGCATGGTGGTAAAGAATTCACCTGCCAGTGCAGGAGACGCAGGATCCCTGGGTCGGGAAGATCTCCTGGAGAAGGAAACAGCAACCCACTCCAGTATTCTTGCCTGGGAAATCCCATGGACAGAGGAGGCTGGAGGTCCATGGGGTTGCAGAGACACATGCAAGAGGGGGGAAAAAAAAAAGGTCTCAGTGGCTCTTTGTTCCAAGAAATAAAAGCAGTCCTCTTCTACATGTCCTGACCTAGCTGACACATCAGAACCAACAATTAATCATCAAGGGCACACAGTCCTCATCTCGGGCTGCCACATGGAGCTCAGGGAAGCCAGGGAAAAGCGAAGGCTCAAACAACAAATTTTTCAGTGAAACAAACAAATCTCTCTCCAGCCCAGAACCAACATCTGAATCAGCAGCCATCGGGCCTTTGGGCAAAGGAACCTCAAAGTCAGACTCGCCAGTGGCCTCAGGGCCATCAACTTGCTGGCTATCAGGAAGATGGGCAGTTCTAGACCCTGCTCTGGCACTAAAGAGCTGGATGAACAGGACCAAGACACTGTCTCTTAACTCAGGGGTCCCCAACCTCTGGGTCACAGACCAGTACCTCCTGTCAGATCAGCAGCCCCATTAGATTAGAAAGAGATATAATGCACTTGAATCATCCAGAAAGCATCCGCCCCACCTTCCCAGTCCATGGAAAAATTTGTCTTCCACGAAACCAGTCCCTGGTGCCAAAAAAAGTTAGGGATGGCTGACCTAACTTAAAACTAGGGTTTATTAAACCCAGCGTTGAATTCGGTTAGGAACCTCCACAAAGCAGTTCATTATTAGAAACAATGAAGACGTCTGTTTAAAAAGTCTGATTTCCAGGCCTACCCCCTCCCACCTTAACTGCCATTTGGGGAAAGGGGCCCTGGAATCTGTATTTCAAAGACTGCACGGCCCCGCCCCCCGCAACAGGACGGTAACAATCGCCGGAATTTGAGAAAAGCTGGCTCGAAGAGATCCCCTGTACTACTGAAAAGTTAAAACGAGACGAGAAAGTCCGAGGAGGGCCTGTTCATTCTCTCGCGGCCGCCGGCGTTCCCGGGGAATGACGTGCGGAAGGCCCGGCCTCACCAGGGAGGGACTGAGGCACTGGTCAGTCAGGGGTCGCGGCTGCCCGGCCAACGCCCACCAGGCCGGGCCCCACTGCCCAGCGCCGCCCACTCAGGCCTGAGACCCCAGAGCAGGGCGCGATGCGGGCCAGGAGGCGCCCCGGACCGGGCCTGCACTCCTGGGGCCCCGGGAGCCGAGCCGGCCCGGCCGGGAGTACCCCTGCCACAAGTCGGGGGCGGACACACCTCGCGGGGCCCCTCCGCATCCTGGACATGTCGCACCAGCCCGCCCACCCCGTGATCCCCGGCAGAGTCCCCGAGATTACCTGAAAGCCCCGCGAGTCTCCTCACGCCAGCACGTGGCGTCCAGGCAGCCGGCAGCTGCTACACGCCCGGGCAAGCCCCGCTGCGGCCGCCCGCCTATTGGCTAGCTGGACGGCAGCGCCCGCCTAAGGCCTCTTCTGATTGGTCGGAAGCCTGGCTCGCTGCCGGTTGGCACTTGGGAGCATAAGGGGCGGGAACTCCTAGAGGGGCGTGGTTTGTGCCCAGGCTGGCCCCGCCCGCGGAAAATTTTAAAGCCGACTGGGGGGACTGGCCTTTTTACTCGCCAGGGTCCGCTCCCACCTAGGTCCCCAGGCTCCAATTCATCCCCCTCCCTGGGTGGGGATGTGGACTCATGGGCTCCGTGCTACTAAAGGCAGAATGACTTACGGAGTACACACCCACAGTTGCAGAAGGTGGCCCCTACCTCCTCCGGTGTTGAGGAGACTGGGTGAAATAATAATATAACTGATGAGCACTAAGGAAAGATTTTTAAAAATTAGGATTGCTCCTTCGGTGCTATTTTTTTTCATAGATCCTTTTGCAGTACTTTATTCATAAGTAATAAGTTCCTAGTATGGGCTCCGCAATGGGACACATAGAATAAACACCATCAGTGGAGATATTACTTGCTCACAGTGGCACAGTAACAGAGGGTAACAGCTAACTTAACTGCAACGTGAATAATAAAAACAATAATAAAGAGCGTGCATTTATTATTGAGCATTAACAATATGCCAGGCAATACACGCATTTAGTCTGACTAACTCTTTGATATATTATTTCTGTTTTACAATTAAGGAGATTGATATTTAAGGAAATTAAGGAAAAACAGCTCGAATCCAAACTAAGAACCTTACCTAAGAAGTCAGATTCCTTCTAGCTCCATGTTGCAATCAGCAGTGGCATTGCAAGGTAACCAGAGGCTCAGGGGTACATGGGCCTATTTCCGACCAGAGTACAGATTTAAGGGGAGCAGGACAAAGGATAAGGCCACTAGAGAGATAAGCATTCCTACTCAGACTGCTTAAGGTTTGGGGGAGCTGGAAAGAGTTTCAGCCAGAGTTGGTTCACCAGCAGATTTACATTTGGGGGAGCTCACTCTGGCTGCAGTATGAGAGGAACAGACCATGCCTGGAGAAAGAGGAGTGGGAGCAGGTGACTGTGGACACTGAGGCAGGATAAGATCCTGGCGGCCAGAGCGATGCATGCGTGTGTGCCTGCTCAGTTGTGTTCGACTCCTTGGACCCTATAGACTGTAACCCACCAGCTTCTCTCTCCATGGGGTTTCCCAGGCAAGAATACTGAAGTGGGTTGCCATTTCCTTCCCCAGAGATCTTCCCGACACAGGGATCAAACCTGCATCTCTTGTATCTCCTGCCTTGGCAGGCAGATTCTTTACCACTGTGCCATGTGGGAAGACCAGCCAGAGTGCTAGGCGGGGAGGATGAAGAGCTTGGGACAGATTCCTGAGCTCCTTAGGAGGCGACATTGAGAGGACAGACAGAGGGAAGGAATGCAGAGCAGCTGTTTTCAGAGGCAACTTTGTCAGAGGCAACTTTGTCAGAGGCAACTCTGGTGACAAGAAAGGTTTTAAGAGCGTCAGTTATCAGATCCTCGACTCCCATGGGACTAGACCTGGGAATGGAACTGGAGTCTTTAAAATCCAGCTTCCCTCTCCCCTTGTATAACCAGCTGTCTGCCCCCTTACAAAGGAAAGTCACACACACACACCCAGTTTAGGCTTTGCTATGCAACATTACCCTGGGAAATAAAGGCATCTCTGGGGGAGGAAGAAAAATAAGACTGTTCTAAATATGAATTGGGCTTCACAGGTGGCTCAGCAGTAAGGAATCACCTGTCAAGCAGGAGACATGGGTTCTATCACTAGATCAGGAAGATCCCCTGGAGAAAGAAATGGCAACCCACTCTAGTATTCTTGCTGGGAAATCCTATGGACAGAGGTCCATGGGGTCACAAGAGAGTTGGACATGACTTGGCAACTGAACAGCAATAACAATGGGTTATTATTGAGGACTGGCAAGAAACCCTTCTACAAGTCTGTTGGTTTCTGATTCTTTGCTTTCACTATGATCCAAGGAGGATTTAATCATTTTGTCAGCTAATAGGTCATCAAAAATATTGTTTTGAGGCTGGGTAATTATCAGGAATCAAAAGAACTGAGACATTGCTAGGAAAACCTCCTTCCACTTCTGTCTTTCACCTGAACAATGTTTATCAGTGCTTATATCCTTAAAAACAAAACAGGAGCGCAAGCGGCAGCGCGAGGAGGAAAAAAAAAAAACACAGAAGGCCCAACTCTTTCTCATTCTAGCAAAAAGTATATTCATCCCTGGATTTATAAACTTAACGGAAAAAATAACTGGTTCAATCTATCTCCTAAAGGGACACATTTCTGATGGCATTTCTAGTGAAAATTTACTTTTTATGTTTAACGATTATTGCTCGTACAACGAAATGCTGTATATTTATCATTTGCTCATTTACAATACAAATAATTGCAAGAATATCTCAGTCTGGAAGGAAAAAATATGACACTTCGACCCCTCTGGGTCACAAGACAGAAAAAAAGAATCACACTTGGAACCTTTATGGTCACAAGACATTTTTCTAGTGTTAACAAGTTCAAATAGATGTCCATAATTTTGTGGCATTAAAATGTGATCAGGTTCTCCAGAAAATATTGCCAAACATGAAAATATGATACTAGGATAAAACGCCATAGCAGAAGGTGAATGGAAATATAAATTGAAGAAGAACAAAGAATGTTGCACATAAATTAAAAAAAAACAAATCCAGATTAAGCAAAGAGAAACTTTCTGAAAGGATTAGGGGGGGTGGATGGTTGGGAGGGGAGATTTATTGCAATAGAGAAAATGCTCTGCTAATTCTCAAGAGTTAGGCAAAAAGAGTTTTCTTTTATAAGGAGGAGAAAACAGGGCCAGAAAGAATACATTGTGGAAGCAAGAGTGACCAGATTCTTTTATATCAGTAGATATTAGATTTGGAGATTGTTTTACCCTGAGGCCAGCCTATTCTCTGGAGGAGTCCAGAGGGATTATAAACTGGCTCTGGGTGGGCCAAGCTTCAAGGGAACTGATGGAAGAAAAAAGCTTAACCAATGTTTGGTTATAAGCATTTTATTCCAATTGATCCATAGGTCCAATAGTTTAGTTAATCACGAATGAGGCAAAGAATAGGAATTTGGAGTGGCGGTGCCAGGACTCAATCTAGGAGTCATATGGGGCACTATATTTCTTTGCAGTAACTATTTTCTGGAACACAAAAGGATAGGGGAAATTTCTTCACCATTGATGTTTTCCAGGAGCACAGGGCTCAGATAAAATTTAACATTGTCAGTAAGAGTTTTTTCATGTATTTTAAAAAAATGGTTAATGGTGGTGTCAAACTGCTACGATATACACAGCAGTTTGAAAGAAATCTTTAAAATTTTTTAAAGATTTTTTTTTACATAGACCATTTGAAAATTCTTATTAAATGTGTTACAATATTTCTTCTGCTGTTTATGTTCTGGTTTTTTGGCCACTAGGCATATGGGATTTTAGCTCCCCAGCCAGGGATCAGACCCAAACTCCCTGCACGGGAAGACTAAGTCTTAACCACTGGACCTCCAGGGAAGTCCCTGTTGTTCAGTCTCTCCGTCAGATCCAACTCTTTCAGACCCTGTGGACCATAATGCCAGGCTTCCCTGAATTCCACTATCTCCCGGAGTTTGCTCAAACTCATGTCCACTGAGTCTGTGATGCTATCCAACCATCTCATCCCCTGCCTCCCTCTTCTCCGTTTGCCTTCAATCTTTCCCAGCATCAGGGTCTTTTCCCATGAGTCGGCTTTTCACATCAGGTGGCCAAAGTATTGGAGCTTCAGTTTCAGCATCACTCCTGCCAGTGAATACAGACACATTTTTTTTAAAGTTATCAATATTTACAATACAGCCTTTGTAACTATCAAGACTTATGACAAAATATTATCAAGCAAAAAAGTTTAAAGTCCACAAGTATACAATATGGATGGCCCAATACTGGCATATCTTGTTTGTGAATAGCAATACATCCAACTCCAAACTTTAGGGAGTTAAATGAAACTACCTCCTCCTTCCACAAAGAATGGGGCTCCTCTATAACAGACCGCTTTGAGCTGGGCTTGATGAGGGAAAGCCCATGATCCAAGTCCTGCCCTTTCTCCCTCTATCTTGTCAATCAAGAAGCTCTTGAGACATATGACTTGACTTGTGTTTGGCCCTTACAAATCATTATGTCACACTCTTGAAGCACCATTCTGCCTTCCTTGCCTGCTTATTTTTCTTTTTAAGACTTTTTCTTCTTTTTTTATGTGGACCATCTTTAGATTCTTTATTGAATCTGTTACAATGTTGCTTCCATTTTATGTTTTGGTTTTTTGGCTGCAAGACATGTGGGATCTCAGCTCCGTGACCAGGGATTGAACCCACACCCCCTGTGTTAGAAGGCGAAGTCTTAACCGCTGGACCACCAGGGAAATCCCTCATGCCTGTTTTGAGGACTATCCAGGATGCTATGGGGATTCCCATGTGGCTGGACCCGGTGCAGACAGGAGGGTGGGCACCCATCCAGTCTTTGTTTGCAGCAGTGGTTCTCTAAGGGTTGTCTTCAAC